GGGAGCGGGCGCGGGCGAGAGGGCCCACGCAGCGCCGCACGAACAAAGCAGCGCCACGCTGCTGCTGCTGCTGATGCTGCAGCGCGGGGGCAGGGGCTCTCGCCCGCAGCAGGCAGCAGGGACCTGCTCGCCGCGGCGGCCTCCGTCGGCAGCAGCAGCAGCATCGGAAGCAGCAGCAGCAACTTGAGGTTCCGAGACAAGGAGCAGCAGCAGCAGCAGCAGCAGCAGCGAGCCCTGCTGCTGCCAAACGCCTCCCAAGACAGCCTCGCAGCAGGAAGGCCCTCTTCTGCCTCCCCCACAGACAGCAGCAGCTACCGCCCCCCCCGCAGCAGCAAACTCCTCCAGCAGCAGCAGCAGCAGCAGCAGCAGCAGCAGGTGCTGCTGCCGGGGGCCCCCGGACTCACCCGACACCAGTCCCCTGTGGGGCCCCTCTCCCTCGCGGGGGCCTTCGGCAGTTTTGCTGCTGCAGCACACAGCGCCTCGTTGACTCCTGCTGCTTCCCCGCGGCAGAAGCCGCAGCTGCTGCTGCAGCAGCTGCAGCAGCAGCAGCAGCAGATGCAGCAGCAGCACCAACAATTTCAACAGCAACTCTCACAAACACAACAGCAGAAACACTGGCAGCAGCTCCAGCAGCAGCAGCAACAGCAGCAGCAGCAGCAGCAGCAGCAGCAGCAGCAAAGACAAACCGCCCCAGAGGCGTACCACGGGGCTTCCCCACCACTGTTTTCCTACAACGAGCAGCAGCTGCAGCAGGCGGAGGAGGAGCAGCGGCAGCAGCAGGCGCGGGACCCGCAGTTGTTGCTGCAGCAGCAGCAGCAGCGGCTGCTGCAGCAACAACTGCAGCAGCACCAGCAACAATACCTGGAGGGCATGATGCAGCACCACCGCCGCTGGTTTTTTCAGCAGCTGCAGCACTACAGGAAGGTCACCCGAAGGCAGCAGCGAGCAGCAGCAGGAGCAGCAGCAGGAGCAGCAGCAGGAGCAGCAGCAGGAGCAGCAGCAACTGCATCTGCAGCAGCAGCAGACGAGGCTTGCGCGTGCCGGCGCAGAGGCAGCGACAGCACCATCCACTGCAGCAGCAGCCGCAGCAGCAGCTGCAGCAGCAACGCCAGCCTCGGCAGCAGCAGCAAACGCAGAGGACGCGCGCAGCGCTGTAGAGGCAGCAGCAGCAGCAACTACAGCAGCAACCACAGTGGCAGTTGCAGCAGCAACTGCAGCAGTTATAGTGGCAGTAGCGGCTTGAGCTGCGACTGCAGCAGCTGCTACAGCAGCTGCAGCAGCTGCAGCAGCGCGTACAGCGAAAGCGATTGCAGCAGCAGCAGCAGCAGCAGCAGCAGCAGGGATATGTGGCGCCGCGCTGCTCGCTGCAGCTGCTGCTGTCACAAGCCCCCGGCCTCAGAGCCAGCAGCAGCAGCAGCAGCAGAAGCAGCAGCAGCAGCTGGCAGTCGCTGCGTCTCGATAGAGATGCCGCAGCTGAGGCGGGGAGAAAGTGTCGAAGGAAGTGCTGCTGCAGCAGGAGCTGCTGCAGCAGGTGCTGCTGCAGCAGGTGCTGCTGCTGCAGCAGCAGGTGTGGGGCCCCGTTTGTCTTCTTTGGATTTGTTTGCTGCTTTCCTTCGGGCGACGGAGCGGTCAAAAAGGACAATAAAGGGGTTTACGGACACGTTTGGTGGGGGGGGGTCTGCAGCAGCAGCAACAAGAAGAGCAGCAGCAGCAACAGCAGCAGCAGCAACGGCTGCAGCGGCAGGCAGCTGCTGCTGCAGCCGAGGCATTTGCGAAGTCTGCGCTGCGCATGTTGACTTGACTCTCCACCCTTTCCGCGAGATGCAGCAGCAGCAGCAGCAGCAGCAGCAGCAGCAAGAGGCTGCTGCTGCTGCTGCGGGCTCTGCGGCGCGCGGCGCCGCGGGGAAAAACAAGAGCAGCAGCAGCAGCAGCAGCAGCAGCAGCAGCAGCAGCAGCAGGTCCTGCTGCAGCTGCTCGGTCGTGGGTTCTTCGGGTTTTGTTCGGCAGCGGAGGAGGTTGAAGAGAAGCCGAAATAAAAACAAGTCCATTTCTTTGTTGGAGCCCATTGAAGTGTGCGAGGCGAGCAGCGGCGGCAGCAGCAGCAGCGACTTGTCTTCGCTCTTGAGCAGCAGCAGCAGCAGCAGCAGCAGCAGCAGCAGCAGCAGCGAGGGCGAGGGTGGGGGCCTCCGCCGCCGGCGTTTTCAAGGCATGTTTTGGAGTCCATCTTTCCTAGGCAAGTACGACTGCTTGGGAGCAGCAAACAGCCGCAGCAGCAAGCCTGAAAAGAAGCTCAAAACCACCAGCAGCAGCAGCAGCAGCAGCAGCAGCAGCAGCAGCAGCAGCAGGTGTCGGGAGTGGGATCCGTTGCGGGTTGTGCCGGAGGCGCCGAGCAAGTCGGAAGTGGCATCGGGTGCTTCTTTCTACAGTGTATGTACACTCGAAATGGAGGGGGGCCCCCCTGGAGGAGGGGCCCCCCCGCTGCAGGGGGGCCCCCCGTCTGCTGCTGCTGCTGCTGCTGCTGCTGCTTTGCGGCAGCGTTGGAGCGAGTGTGCGCACGGGGCTGCTGCTCCTGGGGGTTTGGGGGCCGTGTCTTCGTTCCGCCCGCAGCAGCAGCAGCAGCAGCAGCCGCAGCAGCAGCAGCAGTTGCAGCAGCTGCAGCAGCTGCGTCAGCGGGGGGCCTCGTCTTCGTTGCGTTCTGGGGCTGCGGTGGGTCGGTCTCCGCGGGCCGCAGCAGCAGCTGTGGCCGCAGCAGCAGCAGCAGCAGCAGCAGGGTCTCGGGCGCCTTCGATGTACGAGCGGGGTTCTTTGTCGCAGTCTTCGGACACTGTGGAGGAGAAGCAGCAGCAGCAGCTGCTCTTCGGCGACCCCCTGGAGCGGGCCCAAGAAGCTGCTGCTGCGCGGCAACAGCAGCAGCAGCAGCAGCAGCAGCAGCAGCAGCAGCAGCAGAGCGGCTCTGCGCGTCGCGCGCTGCAGCAGCTGACTGGCGGTCTGGGCGCAGCCGGCGAGCTGGGCCTCTCGCAGGCCCGCCGTCTCCTCGGCCGCCGTCTGCCCCCCTCCTCCTCCTCCTGCTGCTCCGCAGCAGCAGCAGCACCTGCTGCAGCAGCAGCAGCAGCAGCAGCAGCAGCTGCTGCTCCCCGCTGCCCATCGAGCAGCCTCCACCTTAGCCGCAGCGGCTCCGCCGCTGCCCCCCCCC